ATTCTCCACCGGCGCGACTCGCTTCACGCCTGTTATCTTGTCTCGAACCCGCTACCGTACCCATATCTGGAGCGCAGGAACGTTGTGGCGAGAGCTTCACAAGCCACACATACATCCCGTCGCGTCTCCGTCTCCCAACCTCATGACTCGTTGAGCATCGCCGTTATCTCAGAGAGAGACAGCTGTCGCGCGCCAGACGTACCATTGAACAATCGTCCCTTTTGAATTAATTACTGTCGAGGTCGAATGCCGCTTCCCCCGCTCATGGCCTCGGAAAAGGGTTCTCTCGCGACCGAAGACACTTCAGTGACGGCGACGGTCCTCCCCAAGCCGGACCAGACCGCGTCTTCCCTCTTCGCCCTCCAGGAACCCCAGCGGAGCAAGTCTCTGAAGAGAACGCGCGAGACCACCCCGACTTCTCCCACCTCCCTTGTCGCTGGCGACCAGCCGATCATCACCGGATCCCCGACCAAGTCGGCACGCCTAGGGCTGCTCAATCGACGCTCGCCTGTCCCGCCCTTGACCGGCGCTGCCGCCCTCGAAGACCAGCGACGCCAACGCGAAGAAGAGGAGGCCCGCGCGGATCCGCCTGGCTCGAGCGAGAACCCCAGCCAACGCATCCTGTCGGCGCTCGCTGGAGACGCCGCATCCGTCATGAGCCGGGCGAGCGACGCGCCGCAGGCACCTACGGCGTCCATGGACGTGCCGCCGCCCAAAGCGCCGCCCAGCGTCTCGATACCTTTGATCAACCATGCCGCCACCGATACGGCCGAGGCCAGCCCGCAGAGCGCGACGAGCGCTGCCAGCATAGGAGGCACCTTGGTCACGGCGAGCCCAGGTCCTATGGAAGTCGACACCACTGCCAACGAGCAGGCGACGCCGGCGCATCACTCCCACGCCCCGGACGACAAGAACACGCCCGGGTCGCTGTCATATCCCGGATCACTGCACGCCAGCATGATGTCGGCACCACCGGCGCGCGGCATGAGCTTCCCCATGCCGTCACCCGGGCAAGACTCGCCCGGACAGCCCGGCGGGAAGAAGCACAAGTGCCCGTACTGCGAAACTGAATTCACGCGTCACCACAACCTGAAGAGCCACCTTCTGACACATAGCCAAGAGAAGCCTTTCATCTGCCAGCAATGCGATTCCCGCTTCCGTCGCCTGCATGATCTCAAGCGCCACAGCAAGCTTCACACGGGCGAGAAGCCTCACATTTGCCCCAAGTGCAACCGCAAGTTCGCGCGCGGCGATGCTCTCGCGCGACACAGCAAGGGCGCTGGCGGTTGCGCCGGCAGGCGATCGAGCATGGGTAGTTTTGGTGCTGATGTGGATGGGCCTCGATGATTCCGGCATGCACGACGACTCCATGACCGGGGTATCATACGGCAACGACGAGGGAAATGACGGAGGAGGAGAGAAGACATTTGAGCCTTCCAAGCATCAAAGCTTCTCATGGTCTGGGGGGGAAATCTTCTATCGATGGGCTTTTGGGCTGCATTCAGGGGACTTACCCCGCAGGAGCGTCAGTCGAGAGACCATCTGGGGGGTCTTTTCCTCTCGGGTACTCCGCAGCACAAGGGCGCATCAAGATCAAAAAAATCTCCCACTATGGGCAATAGCATGGGCGGCGACCAAACCCAGAAACACGAGTGTATCCTCCATGCCCATCAGCGGTGCGGGCTCCTCCATGTACTCGCAGGGCGGAACCATGACGGAGAGCCCTAAGCCCTTAAGCCCTGGCGCTGCGCACGACGGCACCGGCCTGAGTAGACAGCGATCGCCGAGTCTCACGCAGCAGTTTCAACAGCAGCATTTCGGGCGCAGGCAGTCCGACCGTCACACCCCTCCAGGTTCGTCTCGCACCGTCACATACCCACTGATGAGTCAAGTGCAGTTTTGCTTACCAGTCACGCAGGCTTCGCCTCAAACAGCGCGCCATCAGCCAACGGCCCTCCAGCCCGCGCATCAGGGAGTTCGCACGGCGGCGCAAGCACGGAGAACGGCGGCAACATGTTTGCCACTGACCCTGGTGTCTGGACGTATATCCAGACACTGGAGGCCCAGGTGAAGCAGCTGTCGGAAAATGTGGCGGCCATGCAAAAGGCGGACAGTGCCAAGCAGGCCCAGATCGGGCTGCTCACGACCGAGATGACAGCGCTCAAGAAGCAACTCCAGGCTCAAGAATCCGAGGCGGCGGCCAAACAAGCACAGATCGGGCTCCTGACAGCAGAAGTGACCGAATTCCGAAAACAGCTCCAAGGCCGCGAGACAGAGGCCCTCACGCCCAAGGCATGAATGATGCGTCAAGTCCCATTGGTGCAAGCACATGAAGCAACGAGAAGTGCACACCTCCCAACTATGTAACAACGACGGCATGCAGCATCAAGGAAGGAGGACGGCAATGGTTGGCACGCGCCGGCAGGGCGACGACGTGCAGGCGTTTATTTTCTCTCGTTACATGCATCCTCATTCCTAATCGCTCGTTTTCTTGTTCTTGAATTTCTTCTTCTTCATTCCTGTCATTCGGATCATCTGTTTATCTCCACATCACTCACAGATATCCTCTTCTCGACCGCATCAGACGCTTTCTTGTTTCTTCTTACATTTGGGCAAGGCGTTTTTACAAAGGGACCGAGGGAGCGGGAAGGAATCCGTCTGGGGTTCGAGAAAAGGGCGACTTGTTGCGGCTTCACGGGCGAAAAGTTTCGAAAGTTTTGGACGGAGGGGTTCGTTGAGGCGATCCTGTGGGAAGTCTCTCGTGGTGTTGTTGTTAGAGCTGGATGGTGTCTCGCGTGTTTCCTACCTGTCTGGTGCTCTGAAACGCAATGGCGCTGCCTTGCCGCGGCGATGGACGGAGACGGGAGACGGGTCAGAGCAGGTTTCCTTGCCTTTTTTGTGTGTTTGTATCATACCTACCTCGATCACGTTCACTGCAAAGAGAGGGGGAGGGATCTTTGCCTCGGGGTAGCACAGCACCCCTGCGGGGTCTTCTCGCAAGGGACTGAAGCAGCGGCACAAATAAAAGACACACTCAACAAGTTGACTGTCCCAAGACGGAAGTCATGCGGCCTGACATGGTGGTTGGGTAGCTACGTATTTTTGGCAGGCCAATGTGCCCAGCTCGCGGTTGAATCGGTTGACGGCGAAAATGTTCCACCATGATGAGCATGAGGAAGATACAAACATACACTGGCAGACGGGTCAGACACACAAAGGTGACTCATGCCTCCGGTATCGTGATGAGGGTCTTGCTCTTTGGAGTTTTTTTTCTTGCTCTCCATTTCGTGCGACCACTCATCTTGGCCGTGTGTCGGCCGGGGGGGATACACAGTAAGGTGAAGTTGGGTGGCAACACGTGGTGCTGCATATAGGGATCCAGCCAGCATGTGTGGTGCCAGTCGCACGACCCTGTCTCGTCCGTCGTCGATGGTCCTATCGGCAAGCCGACCAAGCTGGTGGG